CACGTTGAAAGCCATAATGGCAAAGCTGTACCTTGGAGACTCTCAAGAATTGGAGCTGAGAGTTTGTCACGTGAAAAACCTGGAAAGAAGAATGCATTCCTATAAGAATGTCCTTCATGGGAAAGTAGAGAAGCTTCAGGAGTGGAAAACAGAAATCTTTTAATGAGTACAGAAGTCCCCTGACAATGTTAAAGTCAGATTTAAGAAGGGCATCCCATGTACAAAAAGAAAAAATAGTAGACTGCTCTTCTCCGAGGATTCCATTTCTGTGGTCTCAGTTACCATGGAAACCAAATATTATATACAGTATTTAAGAGAGCACATCACGTAACTTTTATCACAGAACATTGTTATAATTATATTTTATTAGGAATTGTTAATCTCTTCCTATGCCTACTTTATAAGCTGAACTTTATTATAGGTATGCATGTATAGGAAAAATCATTAGATAAGATAGATAGATAGATAGATAGATAGATGATAGATAGGCAAATAGATGATAGATAGATAGATAGATAGATAGATAGATAGATAGATAGATAGATGGATAGATGATATTCCAGTAGTGTCTGTGTTGCAGGGATGCACTGAGGTCTTGGGACACATCCTCAGTGGGTAAGGGAACTCCTTTACTGCCTCTATTGGTAGCTAGCACTGTCTTAAAACCACAGCAATCGATGAAATGTGTAGGACCTGGGCCCACAAGGCATCCAGTGACTGGGAAGAGGGGACCTTGACATTGGGGGATGATTGTAGATGTACCTACTACTGAGAAGGAGGAAGGAGTAGTCTCGACATGGTGGCTAAAGTCAAGGACGATGACGAGCTCACTGGCTGAGGAAAGGGGGAAATTCCATCTAAGCAGCCAGATTTGGGGGGGGGCGTGCAGAGGAGTTAGACATTGGAAAGAAAAGTAGACAATAAGAAGTCTATCCTCAATAGCATTAGACTTCTCATTCTGATGACACTGCTACCTCAGCTACATATGGAAAGTTATGTCTATCAAGAAACTGTCATAAGAAGATAGTAACTCCCTTGGAAGATATGTTTTCAAAATCTCATAGGTGGGAATCATTTTTAAAATGGGCCATCAGCTTCCAAATAGAATCCATCAGGGAACAGGCAGTGTGAGGAATCTAATTGTCCTGCGAACTCTCTCCTGCATCTCAAAACACTGGCCCAGCTGGACACACATCTTTTCACCATTCAACCTTCCACTGAAAATCTGCATAGTCTTTTGCTCCATCTTGAATCTAATGCTGGCATCTACTTTGCACACACAGCTTTTCCATTTTGCCATTGAGGGCAGCCTATGACCTTCCTCATATGCACACATTTGACAGACTTCTAAATGTGCACCCTACTTTTTATGACATGGAGCCCTTTGATACTTTCTTTTTTCAAGTTACAGCTCATCTATTTAAAAAAATATTTTATGTTTTTAAATACTTTATTATTTTTTATGTGTATGAGTGTATTGCCTGCATGCAAGTGTATCCTTGTCATGCAGTGTCCATGGAGGTCAGAAGAGGGTGTCAGATTCCCTGGAATTGGATTTGCTGATGGTGGAGCTGGGAATCAAACCTGGGTCCCCTGCAAGAGCAGTCTGTGCTCTTAACCACTGAGCCATCTCTCCAGTCCCCCAAGATTTATTTTATTTTTAATTATGTGTATATGTTTGTGTCTGTGTGTGCTCATAAGGGCAGGTGTCCAAGGGGCACTAGATCCCCTGGAGCTGGAGTTATAAGCAGTTGCATACTGGGAACCGAAGTTGGGTGCCCTGGAAGAGCAGTCACACTCTTAACCAGCAAGCCATCTCCTCAGTCAGATAGCCTCATCTGTTAGGGAAAATGCATGTCACTGTACTGACAGGACACAGTACAAATGAGAGACGAGAAATGGCACTGGGTTCATGGAGGAAACCATCCATGTGAGTGGATGCAGACTGAGAATTACAGACAGTTCTACTAAAATCAGCAATGCCAGTTGGTGGTGTTGCTGTTTAATTAAAAGCTAAATTGCAACAACTACTAACATGATTACATGCTCCTGATTGCATGCTACTGATAATTGATTATATGTCTGTAATCCCTGCCCTAAGCAGGCTGAGCCAGGAGAACTGTCAAGGGTCTGAGGCCAACCTAGGCTACATGTTCAGATAGTGTCTTTGAAATAATGCAAGAAGTGGCATGAACATCCATATCACAAAAATGCATCCTATGCCAATCATCTTTACTGAAAAGGGTGGTTATTTTTCCATAAAAGAGCATCTGAGCCTTCAATGATGAAAACTAGTGCCCTTCTGCCAACAGCTATCATCTTCAGAATCTATTTTGTGCCTCTCAATGTCAGACGACACATAAGGAGTAAGTAGCCAGTGCTAGACCCCTTCCAGAATTCACTGTCTGGAAAAGCAATGGGGAGGACAAGAGATGAGTATCCCTTGTCATCCGTGCATTATGGGGCTGTCCTTGCACCCCATGATGACCTCATGTCAGTAGGTTGGGGCCTGGCCTGTGTGGATCCTGAGGGAACAGGATCCTGTGTGGGCCTAATCACCATGCTGTTGGGGTTCCTGGGGATACTGCTGCCACCTTTAAATACTCAGCAGGCGTAGACTGGCCTGTGAGTGACCTGAGAACTGAAAGTCCCAAGTGCCTCTGTCATTCAGAGAACATGGGATGTCTGTGGCTGTCAACGTTTCTTGTAATAGCCTTGTGTCAGCTGGCATGGACCTGGTGCCTGTGGGACCCAAGGACAGAAGGGTCCTGAGTGCTCAACACCACTTTGCTGGTGCACCAAGATCAGCCATCAGTCAAGGCCTGGGCGTTTCCCCTTTGACAATGTCCTCAGGAAGGAAATCCCTACCCCTGCCATCACAACCCTGAGAGTACAGCCATCTTGGAAGTACCAGCTCCTTGAGGCTTCTTCAGAGGCTGTGCCTCAGGGCAGAGCTACTCAAAGAGCACAACATAATGATAAACCAGCAGAGACTTCGGAATACCTCAGAGCTACTTGGGTTCCAGAACCCCATGAAAGACGAAATCCATGTCTTTGAGTCCAGACAGCCTGTTCAATTGCCCAGCCTCCAGACCTGTGTGCCAAACAGATAGTGCTGAGAGAGCCAAGCTAGTGCAACAAAGGAAAAGAAGTGGGATGGACCATTCCAGTTCACGGTCCCAGACTATAATAAAAGCAAGCAAGCAGAGCCGAGAACCCAGGCCATCTGTCTTCAAGCCAGCCACCAAAAGAGTGTCTCCATCTTTCATTCCCAGAATGAACAGCTGAACAGAAGCCTGAGGAGGGAACCTGGCTGAGCATTGCTGACCACTCTATTGGAGGAATGCTTACACTGCTCCTGGCCTGCTGTGGAGTCTCCTGTGATCAAGGAGGTCTCTGGCCTTCCTGCTCGGCCTAAGGGATGCTAGAGCCTTTATACTCTGTATAAGGAGGTCAGGGACTGTCCCTATTTGTCCAAGAGGACCTATGACCTTCCCCATCTGCCCAAGGGAACCTGAGATCATCCCCCTCTAACTAGTAGACCCTGTAACCTTTACCCTGTTCCAAAGGAAGTTTGGTGCCTTATATATACTATAAGCATCATACAGAATTAATTTTGAATATAAGCATAGTATTTAACTATAGTTACCATCTATAGCTGCATATTTATACCATATAGCTGTCAATTAAATACAAATTAATAAAGTTGAGAAAAAATTTTAAATACAGGTATTTTAGGAGTCCTAATGTAAATTATTTAGTACTCATTTTAATGCAATTGATATTATTCTATGATATACATTACATAAAAGAAAACACAAAATGTGGGTCCTGTGGTTATTTTACCCACATTGCTCTTTCCTCTGGAAGCCTCTCTTCTTATGGTTCAAACATGAATTTCATGAGATTCCCTGTCAGGGTCAGAGAACACAGTTGTGAACCAAGTTAAGTGTTTTCTCCTGCTGGGCTTGCTGCTTAAGGGGGTGAAGACAGCAGGCATCAGAACACCTTGGGAGGTGTGGGAGTGATACCAAGACCTCTAAGAGGCAGGCAGAGTGGGGCTCAGGGAGGAGCACTGGCCTTGCAGGTGCAAGGCATACCAGGAGAGTTCCTGGAGTCAAACATGAAGCCTACACTTGGAAATTCCCCTGCCGTCTAATAAACTTCCATGGTCCTCTGTTTCCTTTCAACCTTTAAGACTGGTGTCAAGGGCTAGAGAGATGCTCAGTAGTTAAGAGCACTTGCTGCTCTTGCAGAGGACCCAAGTTCAGTTCCCAGCAGATACTGGTGGCAGCTCGTAACCATCTAATTCCAGTTCCCGGGGATCTGACACCCTCTTCTTGCCTCTATGGGCACCAGACATGCAGGTGATGCACATACATACATGCAAGCAACACTCATACACATACAACTTGAAAAATCTAAAAAAAAATTGGCATCAAATGGGGCATTGATGGTGCACACCTTTAATCACAGCACTTGGGAGACAGAGGCAGACAGATCTCTGAGTTCTAGGTCAGAGAGGCCTACTGGTTCTCAAAAAAATAAAATAAAATAAAAACTAAAATTACTGTCCGTAACTGAATCTTTGATTTTAAAGGAAGGTCTCTGTAGGTTTACTTTAATGGGAAACAGCATTGTAAAGTATAATGTGAAAATGGTCTCTATTTAGAAGAGATGCATTCAGAGAGGTGAGTCTTAGAGGATGAACATGAGTGTGTTGCCTCCTAAGCATCAAACTGTCAGAAACAGGAACTGGTGCATCCCTCTAGAGAGATCTGTTAAGAAGAGATGGCAGGTTGGTGACTCTAAGTTCTAGGGAGGTAAGCTACATGGAAGGCCTGGTGAATGGGGACATTGCTGACCTCTGTTCACCTCTGGCGCTCCTCCCCCATCCCTCCTCAGGCTGAGGACCTAGTATTGGCCTCGTGAGACCTCGTGGCTTTGGAGGAGGGCGCACCGCCCCCACTGAGCCAGGCGCCTTTGCAGCCTAGGGTCTGGGGTGGGGTCCAGACACGGGGCACATGATGCCACCTCCCTCGCCAACCCAGCACCTGACCAGGAAAAGCCTTGGGTCCTGCACACTAGAGACGCATCCCTGAGCAACACCCATGGCCTCCCCACGCCTGGGAACATTTTGCTGTCCCACGAGAGACGCGGCCACTCAACTAGTGCTGAGCTTCCAGCCTCGGGTGTTCCACGCGCTGTGCCTGGGCAGCGGGGCTCTTCGCCTGGTGCTCGGCCTCCTGCAGCTCCTGCCCTGGCGCCGATCTGTTGGCCCCAGGGCTCCTGCTACATCCCCGTCTGCCTCAGCCCACATCCTCCGTGCCGCCACCGCCTGCGACTTTCTCGGATGCCTGGGTAAGGGCAGGGGACCCGCAAAATTCGGCCCGTTCTGCTTCAGGCTAGGGTACACAGCATACAGGGTAGGATGTGCAGGGTTCTGGAGAATGTGCGCGGAGTGGGATATGCCCTCTCGTGAGGATGGTATACAATCCTGGGTGGGACCTGCTCGGGCCAGGGTGTTTGGCCTGAGAAGGAAGTGCTCACTGCCTGGTCTAAAACGTGCAGCCCGAGGTTTGAGAGAAACTCAAGTGCTGTGGGCTGTGTGACTGGCCCTTGGGTTGGGGAGGGTCCCTGAGCACTCCTAACAGACCGAGGAAAAAGCTAGATCAATTTACCTGGTGACTGGACAGGACTAGAGAATTCTGAAAAGTAGTTGGTAGGGTTAATGTTCATGGACCTTTATATTTATAAAGTAGTTTATTGTGTTTATTAGTGGAGCTTATTTGGGAAACCTCAGATGGTGCAGTTAAACAAAATCGAGAAAAAAATACAGGGTCCTTGTTTAGTCCACCCAGGAGAGACAATCAACACCATCTTATGTGCGTGTGTGTGTGTGTGTTCTTGGCTGTTTTGTAACACATATTCTGTGTGTGTGTGTGTGTGTGTGTGTGTGTGTGTGTGTGTGTGTGTGTGTTAATGTGAAAACCCTGTCTTTTGAGCTGCTAGTGAGGTCACCAAGCCCCTGTGCATGCTGGGTAAATTTCTACCAAGGTGCTCTGCCCCCAGACCTCGCCTGTATGATTTTGTACCCTGGGTGTACTACGTCTGTCTGATATGTGTTCTGTGATGCCCATCTAAGAACAATCTGACATATTCACATGTTTTCAAACCCCCAAAGAAGATTGTGGGCATGTGAGTGTTGCATGAATTTAAATGTCAGTGTCCTTAGGCAAAGTTTTCTGGGAACACACTTCTGCCCAGCATTTACTCCTGGTCTAGGACTCCATTTGTCCTACCAGGGCAGTGTAGAAGACACTGAGGCCCACAAAGCCAAGGTGCTTAACTACCTGGCCCATACAGAATGAATTTGCCAACATTCCATTCAACTGTAGCATGATGCACTGTGCAGAACTGTAACCCAGACTTTTCATCATATCTGTTTATTGTGAAAATAGCCCAATATGCATGAACATGCATAAAGAAATATTCTGAATCCCCACATGCCCCTCCCCCAGCTTTGCAGACCTCCCTTTCTTCCCTTTCCTAACTGGGTTAATTGGAAGCAAAGTCCAGACTGACTTAATGTCAGTTCTATCTGTTATGTTTCAGTAGAGAGCACCACAACCTAAAAACTGTGTACAGTTTAACACCAATGCCACCCGCCCATTAAAATAATTAAAATCAGGTCTCTCATATCATCAGTGTATGTTCAGTTGTCTCTTGAATATTTCTCAATAGTGGTTTTGTTGGAATCAGGCCCAAATTCTGTCCATGCTTTGTCATTTGCTGATGGTGCTGTCCATGTTTGAACTGCAGTTTTCACAGCTTTGAGGTAACTGCTGTGTGGCCTGTGTTCACTGTCCTGTGTGTTCCACCTTGAGCAGGTCCCTGATAACAGGTGGCTGAGTGTGCCAAGGTCCAGATCTGATCCAAGAGTCACAAAAATGTGACTGGAGGGACTGGAGATTTTCTGTTTTCAGCAGAAAAGAGAACTGACTGCTCTTGCAGAGGACCTGGGTTCAGATCCCAGCACTAACATAGGAACTATAACTCTAGTTCCAGGGGATGATAGATCCAGTGTCCTCTCCTGACCTCTGCAGGCATTGCACAACAAGGGTGCACTTACCTACATGCAGGCAATAGACTCATACACATAAAAAATACAAATAAATTTTTTTTAATTTTATTTTTTTATTTTTATTGTGTGTGTGTGTGTGTGTGTGTGTGTGTGTGTGTGTGTGTGTATGCATATATTGCCTGCATCTAGGTAAGTGCACCCATGTCGTGCAATGCCCATGGAGGACGAAGAGGCAGTTGGATCCCCTGGAACTGGAGTTATGGACAATTGTTAGCTGCCATATGGGTGCTGGGATCTGAACCTGGGTCTTCTGCAAGGACAGTCAGTGTTCTTAACCGCTGAGCCATCTCTCCAGCCCCAAATAAAATGTTTTTAAAATGTGACTGGACACCGCAGACCTGGGCTTCAGATGAGTCCTCTGTAATCTCAAGTCGTTTTCTCAGAGTTGGAGACTGACACAGGGAAGAATTATTTCCTTCTCTTGAGAGATAAGTATTTTTTAGTGCAAAATAGCTCAGTCAAACTGATTTCTTCTTGATTTTGTAAAGAAGTTCCCAGGACAGATATCAATAGTAATTCACTCCTGTCCATGTTGGGTGTCCCTTTCCGCCTGGATTTTGCATGGGTTTGCGGCTTCTGAACTCCGGTCCTCATGTTTTCACAGCAAGCACTTTACCTATGGCGCCACCTCCTGAGCCCAAGCCCTTGAATTTTTTTAATGGAGCAGGGTGAAGACATTTTGTTATTTTTCCTAAATCATTTTTGATACAGGATACATTGATCAAACTGGTTTCTTCTTGATTTCATAAAGACATTCTCAAAACAGGTATTAATATTAATTCAGTCGGATAACTTCAATGTTAGAAGACAAATGCAAGTATCTAGAGAAGTGAAAGAACACCATTCTTCGAAAGATGGGTAGATGATGTTGTAGACACGAGACAGAGGTTAGGAGAGCACTGAGGGACTGTCCCTTTTTTGATAGATAGGGAATATGAATTCTTGCCTGGCAGTACCTGCCCCAGTTTGCGGGTTACAGTCTCACTCCGTATCTTTGGTTGACCTGGGATACATAGTGAGATCATGGTGGGATTGTGCTACTTCTGTATCCTGAGGGCTGGGATCACAGGCCTGTGCCACCATTCCTGGCTCCCCCTACATCTCTTATTGTACAAGGAGAACTTGGTGCTGATAGTTACACAGCACTTTTTGGAAAAAGATATTATTTTTGTTGGCAGTGGCTTGATAATGGAAAGATACGGCTGAAATGTTTAGAGATCACACCAGTCCTTTAGCAGTGATTAGTACATGTGTGTGGAGTGGTGTGTTACCCAGTGAATGTGTGTAGCCTGTGCTTCACTGACTGAGCTATCACCCTAGCCTCTTCTGTAAAGAGTAATTGATGTGGACATTAAAAGATACAGGTGATGAATACAGATTAAAAGATACAGGTGATGTTGGGGCCAGAGAGATGGCTCAGTGGTTAAGAACACTGGTTGTTCTTGCAGAAGACCCGGGTTTGAATCCCAGCTCCCACATGGCAGCTAACAACTGTCTATAACTCCAGTTCCAGGGGATCCGGCAGCTTCTTCTGACATCCTCGAGCATTGCACGACACAGGAGCACTGACCTACACCCAGGCAATACACACACACATCTAAAATAAAAGTAATAAAAATATTTTTTAAAAAGATACAGGTGATGAATACATATTAAAAGGTACAGGTGATGAATAGTGATTGCTGTTGGTGCTGTAATGCAAGTCACCAAACAAATGAGGGACAGTCATGTGGCTACTGATTACTCTGTGACAATAGCAACTATCATTCCAGTCATTCAGTCTTCAGTTTCCTTCTTATCTTTACATACCAACATGTGCTTTCCTCTTCCTCTCTCCATCTTTCTTTTCTTCCTCTCCCTCCCTCCTTCCTTTTCTTTCTTTCTTCTCCCTCCCTCCTTCCCCCTCTCTTCTTTCCTTCCCTCATTCTGTTTTCCCTCTCTCCCTTCCTCCCTCCCTCCTTCCCACCCTCCCTTCTTTGTTCTCTTATTTTCCCCCTCCCTCCCTCAACGTAACCAGCTTGCTTCAGATTTGAATTAGGATCAGATAGGCTTCTAGCATCTAATTTTCACACAGGGATCATCATCCGGTCCACAGTGTGGGTAGCCTACCCAGATTTCATCGAAAGCATCTCTGATGTGAACGGAACACACATATGGCCTGCTGCTTTCTGCGTGGGGAGTGCGGTGAGTTCAACTCCCTTTGTTCAACCTTCCTCCCCACCTCTGTTCCTGCTGTGCAGTGGTCATCAAAGTAAACAGCAACACTGTAATTATCTCCATCTGTTGTAAAAAGCAGCTTCTTTGATGAGTGGTGAGAGGTATACTTGTCTGTAAATATAAGGATACATATTTAGCATTGCAGTAAGTTACAGTAAGAGATTATGTTTGTGTAGGGATTTGACAAATGTAGGATCTATGACCTCTCTAGCCATGTATATTTGGCTATGTTTATAGTACCACACATGTGTCCTACCCTCAACTGAGTTGGTTTTGAATTCAATTCGACAGCTGTTGATTAGCTCTAAGATAAAAGTGCCACTACTGCACCACTAGAGCTAGTTTGCTGTGTTGGTCATTGTTGTGGTTATTAAGCTAAGTGTCTGTGAGATGACCAGCCCTAAATGACACATCTATAATGGAACCTCTACATCTAAGGCTCATGGAACATAGTGAAACAAGGTGTAGAGAGAATACTAATATATCTCTCATCTCTCACCAGTAAAGCTTCCTTGTACAGCATAATGCAATGCAAATGGAAGGCCACAACTTCCCCTTTTAAAGAAAAAGAGACTACAGTGTGTATCCCTGGATAGGACTCCTATATTAAACCTCTGCATCCCAGGGCCCAGGGACCATTGTGGAATAAGGGGCAGAAAGACTGCAAGAGCCAGGAGTGGTGGATAACCTCAAGGAAACAGTATTCTAGGTGTCTGAGAAATTGCTCATATGAACTTACAGCAATGGTGAAAACATGCACAAATCCCATGCAAACTCAAACCAGACAAAAACCCAGCAGAGAACTAGGGAAATGGATAAGAAGCCTCACCCTTATCTTAGGAACTATTGGCAGCTGACCGCTGCTGGATGACAGTTGGTCTTTTTTAAAGGAGTGATGCTAGATAGGCTAACCAGGCTCCAGTGGATGAACTCAGTTCAAGGGACATCTGGAGTCACAAACTTGACTCGATAGGCCTTAACATATATGACAGAATGCATGAAATCTGATGGGGGGGAGCTATGGAGAGTACACATAGGGGCTGGGGTGTAAATATGCTTAAGATGTATTGAATGAAGTGCACAAAATTATATCTATCTATCTATCTACCTACCTATACATCTATATCTATATCTATATCTATAACAAAAAACCAGTAAGCAACAACAGAGACTAGGTGCTGTGAAAGATGCAAATTCTCAGGCTTTGATCTGGACCTCAGGATCAGGAGTTTGTGAGACCAAACCTTCCTGTGGTGCAGATGCACACTCATGTCTGAGAGTGACCCTTCCAATGCCATGGCCTCCACCTTAAGCATCCATATGCACATTCTCCATAGTGTGGAAATAGCCCCAGTAAAAGGCAACTGCAGAGAGAGGCAGGGAGATTGAATGTGGTTTGCCAAGTGGGATATATTTAAATATACATCAAATACTCCATGTGAAATTTTTGGATAAATCAATTATTTGATAAATCTTTATTTTTTATGCACAGAGGCAGACACAAAAACATGCTATGCTTCCTGCACTGCACTGACCCTCAGGGTTGGTATAGAAGGCATGAATGCTATGTGGAGTCTGAGTTACTCTGCAGAATTCTCAGCTGCCTTCCATTCCTCCTCTCCATGGCTTCCTAACTGCATCCAAGTGAGGCCCCATCCTAGCCAACATTAGTAGGGTACATTGATTTTATTCTGTCTACTACCTGCACTCCCCTCCTGTTATCCCCTTCTACTCAAGGGCTTTCTGAGTCTCTTGGGCCCATAATCTTCCCTTATCAGAAACAGAGCTTCTACGTCAAACTACAGGAACCCTCCCACCATTGTAAACTGGACTTGCAGACCTCTGCCTGCCTGGTCTGCAAGCAGACCAGAGGTGAAGTTCCCATGTCATATCCAACTGTATAAACAGAGGACAAATGTACACACACACACACACACACACACACACACACACACGCCCCTCTGTCTTAGCTACGGCCACTCTGGGTTCCTGCGAATGTGTTCACATGGGACAGCTCACCCATGTTGTTGGGCAAACGTGTGTCTGCCCACTCACTCCAGGAATAGGTTAGGTACCTCATGCATGCTGCCAGAATCTTTGATGCTGAGCTCCTTTTGATTACAGATATGGATCCAGCTGTTGTACAGTGCCTGCTTCTGGTGGCTCTTCTGCTATGCAGTTGATGTATATCTGGTGATCAGGAGATCCGCAGGACTGAGGTATTGACTGGGGACATGAGCAGGGATGTATCCCCTTATTTTGATGAACAAGATTTGCAGATGCCACTGACCACTCAAAGGTTCTTTGCAGCATGTCTCACACCATCTATCAGCCTGTCAGTTGAATTCCCATCCAAAAGTATTTGTACCCGGTCATTGTTATGATAACATTTCCTTTGGAGACTTGTTCTCACTGTGTGTGCAGTGCAAGCAGGCCTTGATCCTGAGATCCTCCTGTCTCTGCCTCCTGAGTGTTGAGATTACACCATTCCAGGCTGACAGCTCGTTTTTATAAGACATCAAAGGCAAATTCAAAACATTGAGGTTCTTGAAAGCTTACAAATAGGTAACTTGAGAAATTAAATATTTAGAGGCTGTTGGGAAGTTCACGTATAGAGCATGTGTGTTCAAGGTCCTGGGTTCATTACCAGTGCCCAAATGAAAATAAAAACAGCAGCAGCAAAGGAAGGAAAACAAACATTTGGAGGTGGCCACTGCAATACTGAATAATGTGGACACTTTGTGACCCTATGTGACAGTTCCCTCACTTGGTATGGGAAGGAATATCTGCTCACCCAACATTTTATACTCTACCACCTGGACTCCGCTCCTGTCTCTTACTCCTCAGGGACTTTGGAATTCATTTTGAGGTAAAGTTTCTAGTAGGGTGTTTGATGTTGACACTGGCATCTAGAAGGTGCTGGGCAGAGTGTGGCTTCTGGGGTCCACCATCATACAGAAGGTTAATGCTTCTGTAAATGGCCGCTGGGAGACTGCAGCTGGTGGGGTCAGGGGACTAGCTTGGCAAGCATGACTGGCAAAACTCCACATGTCCTTCGAAGTATTGTCAATGCTTATGTGTTTTCTTTGGCCGGGGAATATTTTTCTCTTTAATGGGAATCCCAAGAAACGTCATTAAGACAGATGTAAGGTTTACATTTCAGCTTTTCAGTATAGATCCTGGTATGGAATATGCAGGTTTCAAGTAATATTAGATGGGGCTGGAGATCTTGGGGGAAAGTCTTGAACTGTAGGTGCTGCTTGTTGTGAGAAAATGACAGTGTGGTCCTCTGTGGTGAACACTTGAATGATTTCAAGCACCCTAGAGACTGAGGCAGGAGGATCTATAATTGAAGGCCAGCCCAGGTTGAATAGTAAGACCCTGCTTCAAAAACAAAAGAAAGTGTGGGCAACAGAAAGTTTGTGAAGGAGCTTATGCATACCTGCAGTTTGAAGCCATCTAGCATTCAGATAAAGGTGTGGAGGTCCTGGGTGCTGGAGAGATGGCTTAGCAGTTAGGAGGACCCAGGTTCTGTTCCCAGCACCCACGTGGCAGCTAACAACTATCCATAATTCTAGTTTCAGGGGATCTGTCACCCTCTTCTGACCTCCTCAGGCACTGCACAACATGGGTGCACGTACATCCATACAGGCAATATACTCATAATACACATAAAATAAAAATAATAAATTTTAAAAAGGTATGGCAGTTCAGTTATGGTCCAGCTAACACTGGGTTACCACTAACTTGGAGTACAGGCTCACACCCCACCTGGGTTTCAGATGACATCAGTCACTGATTTGCTGCTGCCTTGCATTCTCTGGCTCAGATCTGTTTATTGTCTCAGAGGAAGAAGAACCATTGTCCAGACTTCAGTGACCTCCAGCCTTGGACTTGGTTGGCCTTACCCCCTGGCCTGCTTTCTCTCCCCTCTGTAGGTGTATCCAGCACAGCCTAGGGCCGGGGGTGGGAGTGTGTGAAATGAGCAGATTCTGCAGTCTTCAGTGGTACAGACCTTTCCAGAGAGCCGCTTTGAGGTAGATGAGTCCCCACACAGATTTCAGTTCCGGCAATGCTCATATTTCTGAGGTGCTTGCCCTCTGGCTTCCAGCCCTAATGAGGCTAGGGGGAGGGTTGCCCCAGGAACTGGCTACAGTGTGGGAGGCAAAATATGCTAGAATCATTTCCCTGTGCTCTCTCAGACAGCTGGCTACAAAATGTTTCTTCTCTGGAAGCTTTGTGTACCAGCCTGTGCTTCTCTTCCTGCTAAGAGTAGGTCCTGGTTTCCTGCTCTGATCCATCAGCATGCTTGTGTCCACACAGCTCAGCTTGAGAGTCAGAATCCCAATGGGACATGGGATGCCATTTGCTAGGTGTCCTGTGGTGTCTTCTATGACAACTAGCATGTGTGACTGATGGAGCCCTTCTGTGTTCACATGTCACAGAGAAGCATCTATTTGAACATAGCCTGCTGCCAAATGGGATTAGGTGGTTCTACATGGGTCTAATTCCAGAGTTCCTGGCTGCATAGCACTAAATCTTGGTGGGGACTGGGGGTGGGGGAAGAACAGGGGGGTATATATAAGCACAAAGATAAAGGAAGGATATGACAGGAATGTGAGCTATGCAGGGAATGGGGAGTGCAGAGGAAGGAGGAAGAAAGGAAATCCTCAGGTTTGCTTGCAGAACATGGGATGTCCTAATTCTTACCAGGTCCTGAGACATGGCTTGTCCACGTGAGCTTTCAAATTGCGCCCTTTTTCTGATTTCTACCCAAGATACCTATCCTCCTTTTTAAACTGAGCTGTCCCCACTCCTAGATTTTAGTTGTTTAAGCTTTAATATTTATCTCATTGCATTTTGTTGGAGACACGGGTTTCACTATGTACACCCTAGTCCAAAGATCCTGTATTTTCTTGGATACCAGTGATTACATTCGCCCACCCTGGTAATCCAAGCTGAGCTTCTCTTAAAAACCCTCACTCTGTCACATCTGTGAACTCTTTTGCCATATCAAGCTACATATTCCTAGGTTCTGGAAATCAGAAATCAGGACATGGATGTCATTGTAGACTTTATTCTGGCTGCCATACTGTTTAGCTGCTTAACTTACGAACTTATTCGTCCCCCTTAGGTCAGTCACAGATCTGAATTTAATTTCTCAGCCTCTGTGCCTGTCCCCTAAGTAAAGTGTTTTGTGGGTGGGCAGGGACACTGTCTGATTCTTGTATGCTACTCTCTTGAGATTCTTAGGCCCCTGTTCAGAAAAGGGACTTGTTTTGTTCCTTGTGATACAGGGAAAACAGGCTCCCCTATTAGGGTTCTTAGTCTCAATAAAAGTGTTTAAGAATGATTTCAATTGGAAACTATAGAAGAATTTTATTAAATTTTAAAAGAAAAATCCTCAGGGGGCAAGCTGTAAATCTCAGCAGCTGCCCTTAGGAGGAGAATAGAGAGGAGAAGGAAAATCCATAAAGCCATGCCCCTTTAAAACCCCTACACAGGCCAGAGGTCAGACACATGGCGAACTAGCATTTACATGGCAGGAAGTGGAGCTTTAAAGAAAGAATAAGAAAGCCAAAAAAGTTTCAGGGAAAGCATGCTTAGAAAATAGATTTTAAAAAAAGATTATGCTTTTAACTCAGCAGTTAAGAACACTGGCTGTTCTTGCAGAAGACCCAGGTCCAAATCCCAGCACCCATATGGCGGCTAACAGCTGTCAATAATTCCAATTCCAGGGGATCCAACACCCTCTTTTGTCCTCTGCAGGCACTGCATAACATAGGTGCACTTACATATACACAGGCAATGCACTCATACACATAAAATAAATATAAAAATTTAAAAAAGTTTGAAGAGGCATACAGACTTACAGAGCATGTCTGCGGCCCTGACCGTAAGTGACTTCACCGGGCCGTGGGGATGCTGGGCTAAAGAAGTTCTGGACAGGAGAAGTTCACCATCTCATTGACATACTTGTTATTCCATCTCTCTCTTTAGTATGACTTAAGGTGGAGCTGCTTCCTAGGGGTGGTTCTATGAGCAGGTGATTGACCCAGCAAAACTGGAATGTTAAGTTTCCCCCAGGCTCATAAGGGGCCTTTCTTGCTACTGTAACATAAGCATGTTCTGTGTTTGCAACTTTTGCTCCATACACATTTGACCAAGGAAAGTTGAGATTCCTCACAAATAACTCCATGTTATTTTTTAATTGAAATATAATTTACATGTAAGATATTTTTGAGGGTTGGTGAGATGGCTCAGTGGATAAAGGCTCTTGCCACCAAATGTCATGACTTGGGTTCAATCTCCAAAACCCACATGGTAAAAGGAGAGCACTCCCAAGTTGTTCTCTGACCTTCCCACGTGCAGAGGCACGTGTGCACATGTGTGTGCACACATACACAATAAATGAAAAAAAAAGAAAGATTTATTTTTGAGATGAGCTCTTGCTATCTAGCCCATACTGCCCTCAAATTTTCTAGACTGGCATTCATGATCTTTCTGCCTCAGCCTCCCCACTCTTGGTATTATGAGCATATGCCATCATACTTGACTTTTAAAAATATTTTATTATTTTTATTTTATGTGTATGAGTATGTTGCCTGCCTGTATGTAAGTACACCCATGCCATGCAATGCCCACAGAGGTCAGAGAATAGCATTGGATCCCCTGGAACTGGAGTTGAGGATGGTTGGTGGGTGCTGGGATTTGAACCTGGATCCTCTGCAGCAGCAGTCAGTGCTGTTAAGTGCTGAGCCGTCTCTAGAGTACACACTATACTTGGCTTTAAATGTATACAAGTCATCATGTTTTGAGCCAGTGAAATGGCTTAGTGGGTAAAGGCACTTGCCACCAAGCCTAGCAACTTGAGCTCAGTCTCCAGGATGCTCATGGAAGAAGGAGAGAAGAAGTCAGTACATTTAGGGCTTTCACCAAGTTATACACTGATTAGTACCACTACTAGTTTCCAGCATTTCCATCACTGCCAAAAGAAACCTTGTACCCATTAGCAGTCTCCGCACATAAATGGAATCTTACAAGACATGGAGCTTTTTGAGTCTGGTTTCTTTCATTATAGCTGTGAGGTTTTCCATATAGTGGTGTATGTTGTTAGCACTCTCGCTGGACTTCCTATGGTCCATACTTAATGTATCTTCCCTGGCTGAAGAGTATGGGGATCATCTCCTCCTCTTTAAAGACCCAAGAGTGACCATACTGAGGATCCAGCATATTTCTCCCGGGTCCTGGTACATGTGATGCTGGTCTCCTTAGTGTTCTCAGACTTAGTATTCTCAGATTTACTGTCTTCTTACTGTGTCTTCAGGGAGTCGGACATACATGGTATGGTCCCCCGGTAGGACAGTGGGAAGAGACCTGGGGACCCCCAGTCTGTCTTGTAATGTAAGTAGCAGGAAGCTGCAGGGGCGACCCCCACCTGTCCTTTAGAATAATGACTTGGGAGGCCATGAAAAGTTTCATTGTTTACATTGCTGAGAGGAGTGACACAATACTGTGGTAGATGTTTTGACCAAGGCCATGCTGTTAGAAGTCAGGCGGCTGTTTGGAGTCAGTGATGAGACCCTCACTGTCTCAAGGCTTCTTTCTGGGATCAGGCTGCAGGATGAGTAAGACGGGAGGCTGGGTGGGTATGGAGAGCTAAGAGGAGCAGGCATGAGAACTGTGCCACAGAGAGGGTGTCTACTGTAGCTTGGATCTTTCTTGTCCCTCAAAGGCCCATGTGTTAAAGGCTTGGTCATGATTGGATGCAACTGGGAGATGATGGAGCCTCTAAGGGGTCCGGGCTTAATGGGAAGTCTTTAGGTCATAAAAAACTTTTTTAGGTATTATTTTTATTTTTATTTTTATGTGTATGACTATTTGCCTGCATATATGTATATGCATCATTTACATGCCTGGTGCCCATGAATGCCGGAAAGTTTCAGATCACCTGGAACTGGAATTACAGATGGTTGTTAGCTGCCATGTGAGTGCTGGGAACTGAACCCAGGTCCTCTGCAAGAGAAGCAAGCATTCTTAACCACTGAACCATCTCTCCAACCCCCTAGGCTTCACCTCTTTATGCCATGACTTTCACTTTAGGATTTCATGGTGACATTCAAATCATGCCAAATGGCAGCTGGGCAGTGCTGTCAGAGGGGCTCATAGATGAGACTGCCTCTTTTGTGATTTTCTTGAGAATGAGGCTCAGAAATAGCAGCCAGTTCCATTATGATGGCTCTCTTCAAAGCTGGAGTCAGGTGTGGTGGTGTGTGTCTATAGTTGTAGCTACTTAGTAAACTAAAACAGGATAATTGCTCCAGCTCAGGAGTTCAAGGCCACTCTAGTTAACATAGTGAGACCCTACTTAAAAACAAAACAAAAAAAACAAGCGGGGGTGGGGGGAGGGGGGAGGGGAGGTGGTGTGCACATGCCTTTAAACCCAGTACTTGAGAGGCAGAAGCAGGCGAATCCTGTGAGTTCAAGGCCAGCCTGGTCCACATAGTGAGCTCTAAGCCAACTGGGGCAAAGGGGAGAGAGACCCTGTCTCAAAAAGACCAAAAAATCCCAAAACCAAGAACAGAAATCAAGCATCGTGCATAACTTGTCAAAGACGTAGAGATTTGAATTTCTTCAAAAGTTAAATATGGAGGGGCTGGAGTGCAGCTCAGTCACAGAGCAATGAAGTGCCATATGCATGAAGATGTGCATCCATTCAGTCACCAGCTCCACAGAAGAGAGGATGGAAAGAAGGGAGGGAGGAGGGAAGCTAAACACGGAAACATCATGGAATCCAGCACTATCACCAAAGAATTGAAAACAGAAACTCAAATACTTGAGTACACATGTTCATACCAACACTACTCATAGTAGACCCAAATGAGAAACGGCCTAAATTTCCATCGGAGGAGGTGTGGATTCAACCACAAGTAGCATGTTGAGTGAAAGAAATTAGACACAAAAGCTACCCAATATAATTTTGTCTGCATGAAGTGTCCAGAACAGACAATTCCACGAACTCAAAGCAGATTCGTGGTTGTCAAGGGCCCTGGTCCGCAAGAAATAGTAGTGACTACTGTGGGAACAAGGTTTCCTTTTGGGGTGATCAGTATCTTCTGAAGCTAAGTAGTGGTGATGGTTGAACAACACAGTGGGTGTGTAAAGTGTCTTTGAATTGCTTACTTTCAAATAGTTACTTGTTGGGTTTTTGTTTTTGTTGTTGTTGTTGTTGTCATTGCTGTTTTTAGGTTTTTGAAACAGGGTCTCACTATGTAGCTATGCTGGCCTGGAAGTCACTGTTGTACACCAGGCTGGACTTGAACTCATAGTGATCTGCCTGCCTCTGCCTCCCAAGTGCTGAGACTAAAGGCATGAACCACTGTGCCTGGCTTAAACAGCTAGTTTTATATGATGTGAATTTCACCTTAATTAAAAAACAAAAATCTAAACACAGCCACGCCCCCCCCCCCAACAGTTACACAAGAAGCCCTTGGCAGTACAGAAGTTCATCTGGTCATTTCCCTGAGCAGCCTTGTACCCCTGTGAGCTATGCTGCCCCCTCTGCTTCTCTCCTAGAACCATACCCTGTACCACAATGTGTTCTGTTTCTCTCCTAGCACCATCCTCCTGTACCACATCATGGCCTGGGGTCTGGCTGTGCTGCTCTCTGTAGAGGGGGCAGTGATGCTCTACTACCCTTCCGTATCCAGGTAAGCCCAGGCACCCAGCCACACAGTCCCCACTTCCCTGCTCTATTATGTGTCTCTTGCAGGGAATGAAAGGGTCTGAGCCACTGAGTGGGTTTCTTGAAGCTGAGGCCATTGTCTGGGACCACTTGATCTGCTCAGGCCTATCCAGTTGAAGACACAGAAAGCCTGCTACCATCCCTTGTACTCCTGTGAAGCTTTCCCTGCCCCTTCCTTTCTTATATGTGCGGGTAGTTGTCTGAACACACAGTGTACACGGCAAGATGTAGGTATACCCCCCATAACTATGCCTGCAGAGATGTACATACGTCACTTCCATGCTTCCATCGCTTCCCCCTACCCACTATTTAGGTTTTATTCCTCTAGCTTACTTTGGATGAGTAATGAGTTCAACATTCCAACAGTGGATTTCAGATGATCTTCCAGAAGCTCTGTGGAGGTCTTAAAAATCTCTCTCTCTCTCTCTCTCTCTCTCTCTCTCTCTCTCTCTCTCTCTCTCTCTCTCTCTCTCTCTCTCTCTCTCTCTCTCTCTCTCTCTCTCTCTCTCTCTCTCTCTCTCTCTCTCTCTCTCTCTCTCTCTCTCTCTCTCCATTCTATACTTTCAGCTCTCCTGAACACCTGTGGATTTCAGATGATCTTCCAGAAGCTCTGTGGAGGTCTTAAAAATCTCTCTCTCTCTCTCTCTCTCTCTCTCTCTCTCCATTCTATACTTTCAGCTCTCCTGAGCACCTGAAGGGACCTGTGGGCTCTGAAATTGTTTCAGCAGTTTTTTCAAGTGTAAAATTTTATCCAAGCTGGGCATGGAGGTGCAGACCTGTGATCCCAGCACTAACAAGGCTGAACCAGGAAATTTTTAGCTCAAGGCTAGCCTGGCTAAATAGCCAGATCCACCTGGACAACAAAACACAGGGGAGAGGCCTTGGGGTTGTAACTCAGTGGTAGAGAAATTACTTTATATTCTTGGGGTCTTGTAATCCATCCCCAGAAAAAAGAAACTATTTATAAAACCTCAAGGCTTAAGGATGTACACTCTAATTTCAAGTGGAAAACAGACAGAGGTGGACAGTGTCTCTCTGTGATTTCAGGAATGTGTAGACCAGGGACCAGCCCAAGAAAACCTTCCTGATAAATCTGGCCCTCTGCCTGTGTTTATGAATAAAGTTTTATTTAAAGACAGCCACACCTATTTGTTTATGTGCTATCTGTGGCTGCCTTTTCTCCACAGAGACAGAATTCAGAAGTTGCAAGAGACCACAAAGCTGAAATATATGGACTATGTGTTCCGTGAAAAGAAAAGTCCACTGACCTAAAGTATAGATCTAGATCTTTTTGACTTCTTTCAGTTTCTCAGTTGAATGTCTCCACTTTGGCATGGCATGGCCTACCTTAAGTATTCTCAGGGAGCTCTGTGCAGATCTATTGTATAGTCTGCTTTCTGGGTAACTTATATAGGATAAACACAGTGTCACATCTATTGTTAACAGAATGCACTTGATTGGATAGTCAGTTCCTTTCCCCTGTGCTCCCCCGTGGGATCTGGCATCTTCCAGAAAAATTGTGTCTGAGCCTGAGAGTTCCATTGCTTCAAGGCTTGCAAGGAGTCCCTAGGTACCCAATGGCCTTCAGCAGATGGCCCCAACTTAAGGGTCTTGATGCACAATCATCCCTTAGCCCTGCACTGCCCATGTTCCAGAATGCTTGGCATTCTTCAAGTACATCCTCACTCTCATCTGTCACTTGCTTTCTACTTTTGCATCAGAATCCCTTCTTTCCCCCTTATTTCTCTAACTGCCCTGGAGTCTTTCCAGACCACTTTCAGCAGCAGAACATTGCTGCTACAATGAGGCATCACAATGTAGTGTTGCAATGCTTCCTATGGCAAAAGGATACAGGTGGTGTGCTTTCCCTGCCTGACTTTCTTTTTTTGCGGTTCTTTGAACATACCATGATATGAACACATTCCTTTTATCACTTCACTGTCCATGGCCACACGGGCTTGTTGGCCTCTCTGGTTGTGTCTGAGCTGTCTTGTGTCCTCTTTGCCTTCACTTCCCACTTCCTCACTGTCTTTTTTTTTTTCCTTCTTCTACATCACGGATGCCTTAGTTGATATTTTAGACCTTTGAGTGTGTGGCTGTCTACTACATCCCATGGTGAGCTGTGATTTCTGTGACTCATTAATAGAACTTGTCAGTTTCCCTGAAAAGAACCATGGAGAGTTCCCTTATCCATAAGGAGAACACCTTTCCTTTTAAATCTTAAGTTTATACATTCTTAATTTCTCAAGGATTGGAAATTCATGTTGTTCATATTATTGGGCAAGGCCACGTAGCAAGTACTCAAAGTCTAGTACTTACATGGGTACCATTGTCTCCACTTGAATTGCGTGTTTTTTTTTCTTGAAGAGGCCAGTGCAAAGAACTCACCATCCTAGAATGTATTTTCCATCCTTAAGTTTTCCCAGCAGGGACCTTTGAAAGATACCTCAGTGGAATGCTACATGGCTCCTCCCATTTATGAGGCAGGAACATGACCCATTTCCCTTACCATCCTCCTGTAATGCGTTGCTTTTTTTCAGAGAAGAGAAATGAGTCAGATTTCCTTCTAACACCGTCACAGAATCTGGAAGCAAACTGGTGCATTTCCCTCTCTGTCCCGATCTTCTTATCTCAGCTTCTAGATAAGTGGCCTGTCTTAACCAAAGCTTTTTTATTCAAGGAAAGTGTTTCAATGTTTCTCCCTTAAGGTGTGAGAGGGGCCTGGACCACGCTATCCCTCACTATGTCACCACATATTTGCCGCTACTGCTCGTCCTTGTGGCCAACCCCATCCTGTTCCACAAGACAGTGAATGCAGGTAAATCTGGGGGAATTGCTCTAGGTACACATACACTGAGTATATCTCCACACCTGGGACTCACATAATAACACACCTTGTCCTTCTGGAATTACCCACAATTGACCTTATTCATCAGTCTTCAAAAACACAAGCAGAATCCAGTTAGACACGCTGACCACATTTAATAAGTGAAAATGTGCAAGCCTATTTATTCCCTGCACGAGGTTTTTTTGCTGACATTTGTTTAGATGAAGACCTTCAGCTCAGGTTGAGGATTCACCTCTGTGCTGGGCTCCTCCAGGGTCTGTCCTCGGCATGTGTTGGAGGTCCTGACAGTGACTGTATACAACTTTAGAGATGGGGATAGAAGTGGATAGAGTGAGAGGCAGATGAGGGAAGGGATCAGGTATGGATTTGGAGTCTATGCACTTGGCCTATGCATTTTGTCAGATGGGCAGAAAACAGGAAGTAGAGCACAGGAAATGAGTCCATTGCAATGGTAAAAACTAGGGATGAGAGGGAGGGAGTGAGTCAGCAGACGGATAGAACTCTTGCAACTAAACTGCGCATCTGTGTCTCAGCCCCACCACCCCCTCAAGGGAGTGTGACGTGGAGTGTGTGACTGCCAACCTCAAGCGTCTGTGTATCTCTTGGTCCCAATGTGAATGAGATCATCGGTCTTTATGTAAAGGTTATTTGAACCTTTAGATTAGCAGGTGGTTGTAGAAATTTTTGTTTGAACCTTTAGATTAGCAGGTGGTTGTAGAAATTTTTGTTTGGTTTGGGATTTTTAATTTTAATTTTTTTTCTTTTTGAGACAGGGTCTCCCTGTAGTCTTAGCTGGCTTAGAACTTACTATGTGAACCAAGCTGGTCTCCATCTCACAGAGATCCACATGCCTTTGCCTCCCAAGTGCTGGGAGGTTGTAGAAATTTTGAAAGAGTTTTTTTTTTTTAAGTATTTATCACCAATGATAAGAAATTGTTGACTCTTTAGATAAGTCTCTCTTCCTATTGACTTTTAAATAATGCATTAAATATAGCCATTAAAAATATTTCATTTTTATTTTATGTATGTGAGTGTTTTTCCTGCATGTATAAATATGCACCATGTGTGTTCCTGGTGCCCACAGAAGTGAGAAGAGGGCATCAGATTCCATGTAGCTAGAATTACAGACAGTTGTGAGCCACCATGTGAATGCTAGGAACCAAACCTGGGTCCTCTGAAACAGCAAGTGCTACTAACCACTGTGCCATCTCTCTAGCCCCTAATATTACACTTTATGATAGACTACGAGCAGTTAGTTGCAGAACTTTAAAAAAAGATTTATTTGTTATTTTTATGTATCTGTATGTGCCTGTGTGAGTTTATGTACACCACATGTAATGCGAGAGCCTTCACAGGGCAGAAGAGGCATTGGATTCCCTAGAACTGGAGTCACAGGCACTTTTGAGGTACCATGTAGGTGCTGGGAACCGAACTTGGGTCTTCTGCAAGCACAGCAAGTGCCCTTAAAACCACTGAGCCATCTCTTTAGCCGCTGGTTGTAGAAATTTAAAAAATATTTTTAAAAGTGTATTACTAGTAACAGGAATTTATTTTCTTTGGATGAATCTTCTTCTATAGACACTTAAATACTGTGCATTTAATATAGCAATATTTGGTTTCAAAATTACATTAAAATGGTGATTTATAGGGCTGGAGTGATGACTTAGCAGTTAAGAGCACTTAGTGCTTTTGCAGAGAACCTGAGTACAGTTTGTCACCCATGTGTCCAGCAGCTCAGAAATGCTTATAACTCCAGCTCCAATGGATCAATGGATCTGAAGTCCTCCTTGAGTGTCCACATACAGGCAGCATAGACACCCCCCACAGACACACACAAACACGCGCACGCGCATAAAAATAAAAAATAACTCTTTAAAAAATAGTGGCTTATGTCAAAGCAATGAAATTTCTTAGGCAAACAGTGTTTTAGTGGTTATATCTGTTTGGAGGCAATATGGGTCATTAATTCTTCTCTAAACATATATTTTCTAACTTTTCTCTAAGGAGAAATATTAACTTTTTCAATATTTTAAAGTAATAAGTGTATGTGTCATAACAGGTAAAATAAGCCTTTAAAAAATAGTGCCTGAACTAGTAAAATAGTACTAAAATCAGGAATTCAATTCATAAAAAATGCAGTAATAATTTTTGAGTTGTGATGAAAGTCCTGCAGTTGTGCATGATGTTAACAGTGGGGGAAGTAGGAATGCGGGAATTCTGTGGGCACAGTATATCAAGCTGAAATACATCTCAGTGTAGAGTACTTGCCTAACATTCATGAGACCCTAGGTTTAACACCAGTACCACATTCATTAAAGAAATGGTTCCAAAGTGAAAGCTTGTGTGTATGTGTATATATATGTATGTGTATGTGTACATGCTATGTGTGTCTATATGTATATATGTTTCAGTGTCTATGAGGTCTCCAGGTATGATACTGTGAATAATGATTGTCAGTAATGGGCTTTGTCTCATGCTTTTCTGGCTGTGAATAATTCATACCTGCTTTAATTTCCTTCTCTGTTGTGAAGTGAATGTAAGTCATGAACGTTGCTGACATTCCTCTGCACTCCTCACAGTGGCCTCTTTACTGAAAGGAAGAAAAGGTGTTTATACAGAGAACGAGAGACTGATGGGAGCCATGATCAAGACCCGATTTTTCAAAATCATGCTGGTGTTAATTGCTTGGTAACCTTTCTTCAAGTATTTTCGTTGTTGTTGATGCCAGTGGGAAGGGATATGCCAACTTGCTATTTTGCTTTTTTAAGTGTAACCTGGGAGTTCCAAAGGGAAAGAATCTGAAAGGAAAATCTTTAAACCATGCAGGCTGTCCTTTAAGGAAATACATCAAACACAAGGCAACGGATCCAGAATTCATATATTTTGTAAAAGTTTACAATTAGGTATCAAGCCTAGAGAATTAAAAAGTCCAGTGTTTCATTTTTCTTTTCTTTGTTTCTCTCTTTCTTTTTCGGTTTTAGAGATAGACCCAGCTAGTTTTTCATTTTTGTTTTGTTTTTGTTTTTGAGCCAATGTCTCACTACATTACTATGCCTTTTCAGTGCTGGGACTGCGAGCATGCACCACCATGCCTAGCTCTGTGTCTGTTTTTAAAGGTTTAAACCATGTACACCTAGTATTTTGTCCCATTGCTGGGCTAACCAAAAATTTTTAAAAGATGATACTTTTAAAGTGTATCCATTTGCCTCATTCTTGTCCCCAGAATTCCCATGTCTGCAGAGAAAGAGTCAAGAGCATATCTTCAGTGTAAAGACTCAGCTCACTGATGGGTAGAGAAGAGGTTGAACATCTGTTCTCTCTTTATTATGCCCATCGCTGGTGTCTTACACAAATGTTTGTGACTGATGCTTTGAAAACACATAATAAAAATCATGTAAAAATATTGACCTCAGAACATGCAGCAAGTTGGTGAATCAGTGTTGTGTGTGATAGGGCAAACGTTCGTGGTAGTAACAAGTCACCTAGCATAAAGACATGTCTTTGGAATCTCCTAGGAGAGGCCCAAATTATTGACTGACAAAAATACACTAAACTTGAAGTTTTAAGCTCCATGGATCCTCCAAGAGTAACATTTAAAATTCCTACATAAAGACTGGTGAGATTACTCATTGGATAGAGTCGCTTGTGCTCAGGCCTGACATGAATCCCACAGGTGGCAGGAGAGAGCTGACCCCTGAGAGTTATTCTCTGACCTCCCCCCACACTTGTTTCTCTCTCTCTCTCTCTCTCTCTCTCTCTCTCTCTCTCTCTCTCTCTCTCTCTCTCTCTCTCTCTCTCTCTCTCTCTCTCTCTCTCTCACACACACACACACAAATTTCCACATAAAATATCAAAGAAGCATTTTGGTCTCTATCAAAGTTTTAGGTTACTCCTCATATAGAGAGTGATTTCTGGATTGATGCAGGGCTGAAAGTTTACACGTTGATGTGATGTTGAGTGTTTCCATCAGGAGGACTCGTTTTTAAGGCCTGCCTTAGACTGAGAGAAGGAATTGTGTTTCAGTTAAAGTCTTGGTGTGCCAGCTCAATTATGGTCTTGGTGCCAACTCATTTACAGATCACTATGAATGTCATTATGGGTTTCATTTGGATGTTTTCTTCACCTGTGGACCATTTTCTTTCCATCAGTTGGTTGTCTAATATCATCAATGAAAGCCTTTTGTTCTACCTTGAAATACAACCAGACATCCATGGAGGCTCTCTGAAACGCATCCAGAATGCAGCCAGGACCACGTGGTTTATTATGGTAGGACAATCTAGATTGGAAATTTTCTTTTTGAAAAGAAGAAAATCAATACAAAATAATTCGAAGCACATGGTGTAAGTATATAAGCAGTGCAAAGTTACTTGGACTGCCAGCCTCACCTTGGTGCAGTGCCGAGCTAGGTTCGGTCACTGTTGGGTTCATTATTGAACAAGGCTGGGTTGTGGCTCAGTGGTATAACACTTGCTTAGCATTCGACTGGTTCTGAGTTTGATCCTCAGCACTGAAAAATAAATGAACGAATGAACAAAAGTAAATAAAGTAAATAAAAATAAGGCAAATTTTGTTAAGTTACCATGGCCCAGAGTATGAAGCATTTGAGATGGACTCACCAAATCAGACTCTTTCTCTTGAGACCACAAAATACCTATAGAAATTAGGGATATAAATGGGGGGACGGTTATGTCATTGTATTTTAGCATTGTTCATTTTGCAGTGCTGGTGTGGAACCCAGGGCTTTGTACGTTAGGCAAGTGTACTGTCACTGAACCACGCACTCAACACTCAACCTTTATGGGTTTTTTTTGTTGTTGTTTGTTTGTTTGTTTGATTTACTTTGAGACAGTATCAAGTTAAATGTCCCAGGCTGGCCTGGAATTTGCTATGTAGCTTGGGCTGGCTTCAGACTTTCAGTATTCCTGCATCAGCTTTCCCATGAGCCTCATCCTCATTTTTCCTCCTCTTTCCCTGTCTCATCACCTTCACTGTACTGCTTTCTCCTCTCCTGCCTCCCATTTTCCCTCAACCCCTTTCCCCTCCCTATTCTTCCTTCCTTCCTTATCCTATTTTTATGTACTTCCTGGAAGGAACAACATCCACTGTGGCCAATGTTTGTGTCTTTCAACTAATGAACCAGCCAACCTCTTCAAAGGAAGGCAGTCCAGTGGGTGTCTCAGGGTGGGTGGGGCTTGTCACTGTCGTGACTGAAGGCTGCCACTCCTGCTGTGCTCCTCTGATTGCCATGTGCTTTTTTGCTCACTTTCCCAGGGGATACTAAATCCAGCCCAAGGACTTCTCTTGTCTCTGGCCTTCTATGGTTGGACAGGATGCAGCCTGGATGTCCAGCCTCCCAAGATGGTGATCCAGTGGGAAGTGATGACTGCCTCAGCTGCCGAAGGCACTTACCAGTCCCCTGTGGACTCCTGTGTGGTCCATGAAAGCCCCACTTCCAGGAAGGTGGCGTGTGTCAGAGGGCACACTTCTGATGAGGTGCTGAGCATTCTGTCTGAAGGTAACACCGTGGTGGCAAGGGAGGTAGACTGCGGAGCCCCAGAGCTCCCTGGGAAATCATGGAACAGGGCAGTGCAGATGCCCTCCACTCTTGCATCTCTTCTTTCACTTCTTTTATTTTTATGTATTCCTTCATGTATTTTTGAGACAAAATTTCACTATTGAACAAGAACTAGCCTAAGCTTTCAATCCTCCTGCCTCACTCTCCGGAGTGGTGCTGTTATAGCCATGTGACATCACATCCAGCTAATTGTTTGCTATAATTTCCTGGCAACGTAAGGAGAGAGCAGGTTTAAAAACACTCAAGAGTTTGGTTCCTCGTACCCACAACTGCCTGTAACTCCAACGTGAGGGGATCTGATGCCTTCTTTTGACTTCGTGGCACACCCACACATATGTGCTCACACACACACACACACACACACATAAATAAATAAAAAATATTTTTAGACTGGCTCTCCCTGTAGCCCCAGCTGGCCTGAACTCACTATGTAGACCAGGTTGGCCTCAGTCTCACAGGGATCTGCCTGCCTCTGCCTCCTGAGTGTTGGGATTAAAGGCATGAGCCACCATGTCTAACAAAAATATATTTAAAAGCAAACCACATAGTGACATCAGCACTTCCCCACCTGTTGTCAGCCAGGCCATTGGGAGTGGGTTTAATGGTAAGCTCCTTATCACATATTGTCTCCAGAGCAGCACCCCTTATTCTTGGCACCATTAACATTCAGAGCTGATTCTATATCCTGTGGCCTGTCCTATGCAGTGGGGGATGTTTAGCAGTACATGCCAGTGGCACCCTCCCTAGTTGCGACAAATAAAAATCTCTACACATCAACAAATGTCTTCTGTGGGCAGAGTGGCCCCTGGGTGAGAAACTGTCTCCTTTGCAAAAGCTTGGATACAAAACCTTAGCTATATATACATTCCTAGACAGACAGACAGACAGACAGACAGACAGACAGACACACACACACACACACACACACACACACACTCAGTTGGTCTCTAAACTACTTTGGTTGATACTAATATAGAGGGAGGAGCATTTTAAGGAAAGATGTATACAAATGGCTGATGAGTTCTAGCTTCTTTTTCCATTCCTACTTTTCAAATACATGGAGGAAGGTTCACGGTTCATTCTCACAGGATAAGCCTGGCTCAGAAACTATGTTGATGAAACCATGACCTGATACCACGAGGCTGCACTGTCTGGGCATGGGGAGCTCTGGAGGAAATAGAGAATTCGTTCTGGTTGCACCTCCAAGACAAAGAAACCATGTGTTTGGAGACTTTTTCTGTGGGATGGAACCCAGGACCTCACCCATGCTAGGCCATTAATGCAACTGCAGCCACACCCTAGCCCTTGGGCTTCTGATGTAGTTTAAATAGTTCTTCAAGGACAGGGACCCATCAGTTTAGACTGCTGTCAGCATGCTAAGTTACTGATGTTATGAGGGAAGGAGCTCAAAAGTTGCATCTAGAATGAGTTGTGTGTGTTTGAATTCCCATTCTGGTTGCTCACAGTTGGTGAGCCATTTCTGACACTCAAATAAAACACAGATGACAACAAACATCACTACATTTGGCTCCTACACCCCACCTCTCTCACTACAGACAAACAACATCAATCAGGCCTTCCTTGTTTCCATTCCCTGAAGCAAGATGTTGCCTAGGACTGCTGCTCAAAGGTTGAAAGTTTTCACAAAAAGTCTTTAGAAAATGAACAAGAATATAAAGAAAACCACTGTTCAAAGTGACTGTTCTCTTAAGGATCCCTTCTTTGCTGATTTTTTTCTGGTTTTGCTGATTTCCTTCCCCCTTTCTGTAGTGCTGGAATGGAACCCAGTGCATTGCTAATATTAGACCATTGTTGTACCACAGAGCCCAAACTCAAGTTGTATCTCAATTCTTTTAAAAAAGTATTTCGTTTATTAATTTTATTTTATTGTGTATGAGTATATTGCCTGCATGTATGTAAGTGCAACTGTGTCATGCAGTGCTTGTGGAGGTCAGAAGAGGGTGTCAGATTCCCTGGAATTGGAGCTATGGACGTTTGTTAACTGCCATGACAGCCACAGTGTGGATGCTGGAAACCGAACCTGGGTTCTCTGCAAGAGCAGCCAGTGCACTTAACCACTGAGCCATTTCTCCAGCCCCCATCTCAATTCTTTTTTTTTTTAAATTTAATTTATTATTTTTATTTTATGTGTGTGTGTGTGTGTGTATTACCTGCATGCACATAAGTGCACCCGTGTCATGCAGTGCCCTCGGAGGACAGAAGAGGCTGTCAGATCCCCTGGAACTGGAGTTATGGACAGTTGTTAGCTGCCATATGGGTGCTGGGATTTGAGCCTGGCTCTTCTGCAAGAACAGTCAGTGTTCTTAACCGCTGAGCCGTCTCTCCAGCCCCTTATCTCAATTATTCACAAAGCAAAGGAAGGGGGTATGGACTATCATGGGGGCCCTGGGACCCCCCCCCATGGTCCTGAAAGAGAGTCCACTGTGATACATAATTGACATACCATATAATTATAATTTAACCTTTAAAGGGTTTACTGGATTTTGGTATATTCATGAATTTGTGTTGCCAGTGACACTATCTAAATCTAGAATGTTCTTATGACTCTGAGTCTATAAACACTTTCCATTCTCTTTTTTAAAAATTCTTTGAGTTTTTATGCATTTCATGTAATAGATCTTAATCAAATTAGAACACCCCTCCCAAAGATTTCATGCATTCTGGCATATGTGTTAAGCCCTTTCTGGTCAAACATTTGTACCCAGATGTCCCTCAGTGTAAGTTCATCCACTGGAGTCCTGTCAGCTCTCTCCCTTAAAGAAGATCTACTTTCCCTCACCCAGCAGTAATCAGTTCCCAATAGTTCCTAGGCTAGGGTTTGAATCTGCCATCCATTCCCCTTTCTGTGCTGTGTTTTTGTCTGATTGACTTGGCATGGGTCTTGTGCATGCTGACACCATTGTTGCAAGTTCACACGAGCAAGTTCCCAGTGACTGAAAGCCTGTTTCCTTTGTTCATGCATCAACCCTAGCTCTCATGATTTTTCTGACCCCACTTCTGCAATGATCCCTGAGCCATGGATGGGTGAGGTTTAATAAATGACTCCTATCCAGGCACACACACTGTGCAGTCTCTTATTCTCTAAGACGTGGCCAGTTGTAGACTTCTGTGTGCATCACACTCTGTTGTATGAGGAAGCTTCACTGGTGAGAATTGAGTGAAATATTAGTATTCTCTTTACCCCCTGTTCCACTATATTCCATGAACCTTAAGTACAGAGGTTCTACTACAGGCGTATCATTCAGGGCTGGGCAACTCTCTGATGTACATTTCTCTGTCTGTGACCAGCTGTGGAACCCTGCAATAGCATCCATCTGTTTCAAAAAGAAACTTCTTTGATGAGTGGTGTACGGTATACTTGTCTGAAATTACAAGGACCCATATTTAGCATACAGTAAGAAATTTAATTTGTCTAGAGATATGACAGAGATAGGGTTTTCTCTAGGATCTAGACCTCTCCAGCCATGTGTATTTGGCAATATTTACAGTGCTGCCCAAGAGTTTGATCCCTTTAAGAGAGCTTTAAGTCCAATTAGATAGTTGTTGATTACTACCCAGATAAAAGTGCCACTACTGGACAAATAGAGATAGTTTGCTGTGCCAGTCATTGTGGTTATTGGGCTCTGGAGTTGGGTTGGACCATTGGTTGATTGTCTCCCTTAGCAGCTTTCATAGTATCCTCTAGTACTGTGAGAGCTAGTCGTCAGGGAAAAGACTTCCAGGTTCCAGCTCACTTGCTCCAAGTCCTATGTCAGAAGTATGTCCTGTCTTCAGTAGTAGGAGAGTCTTACCTTCAGGTTCTGGGAGGTAAGCAAGGGCTGTGGCAATTTTCTGTGTTATTTTGGTCTCTTCTGACTAGCAGCTCGAAGGAAGTTTTCACTTGTCTGGCTCTGTTCCTTGTTATATAGCCTTCAGGTATACACGTTCACTTATGTTCAGATATTATATGTGTATTTTTCACGGAGTTTCTGCATTAATACATTTCCCTCTGGCTTTTTACACCACCTAAGCTTAACTATCTAAAGCCAGAATGTTCTTTTGACTGTGAGTCTTCAAACACACTTCCTTTACTTTTTCTTTCTTTCTTTCTTTCTCTTTCTTTCTTTCTTTCTCTTTCTTTTTTTCGTTCTTTCTCCTTTCTTTCTCTTTGTTTCTTTCTTTCTTTCTTTCTTTCTTTCTTTCTTTCTTTCTTTCTTTCTTTCTTTCTTTCTTTCGAGGCAGGGTCTCATGTATCACAAGCTATTCTCAAACTCACTATGTAGCTGAGGCTGATCTTGAACTTTTGATCCTTCTGCCTCCACTTCCCAAGTGCTGAGATTATGGGGGTGTACACCATACCCAGTTCAAATGGTGCTGGGGAAGAGAACTGAGGGTTTTATGTATGCTGGGCAAGCACTCTACCAATTGAGCTACATCCTCCGCCCTCATTCTTCATTCTTGGCAGCCACTAATCTTTTTGTGTCTGTGAATGTTCTGGACGTTTCCTATATATCACACTGTGCCATATTTGTCCTTTTATGTCTGTCTTCTTAGTTTAAAATTTTGAAGGTTTATCCAATAGCATGTATCAGCACAGAGTTCCTTTCATGGCTGAATAATATTTCATAGTATGGGTATACCCATTCTTTAATTTTTTTTTCCAGCAAATGCTGTTGACTGTTAAGAACTCCAGCAGGCTGTGTATTAAGAACTGTGTTAGGGGAATGTAACAGGGAATGTAAACTTTGCCCTCATAGTTTATTGGACAAATTCAAAACAGCTGACTGCTCTTGCAGAGGACCCGGGTTCGATACCCAGCACCCACACGGCAACTATGAACTATCCTTAACTCCAGTTCCAGGGGAATCTGAAGCCCTCTTCAAACCTCCGCAGCATTGCACAACACAGGTGTATTCACTTACATGCAGGCGATACACTCACACACATAAAATAAAAATAATAAATAAAATATTAAAAAATTGTTTTCTATTCTGTTAATAGAGCAATCATTGCAAATACTGGTTTGAGAAAAGCTTGGAAGAAAAGGAGAGCAAGTAAAGAAGTCTTTTGAGAAAAGCAGAATGCAATCAATATTTTAATTTTGGAAAGAATTTCTGTAGAAATGACAAATGTCAGGATGGGGGTATAGCTCAGTAATAGAACATTTGCCTCGCACATGCCAGGCCCTTGGTTTTATCCCTAGTGCTTTAAGTGTGCAAGAGAAAACAACAACAACCAAAAAAATCTGTCCAATAAATTAATGAATAAAAAGAAAAGAGAAAAAAGGCACATGTCAGTTTAGAACCCACTGTGATGTGGTGTTAGCGTATCTGTCGGGTCAATTTTTTTGAGGAATTCTTCAAGCACAGAATAAGTTGGCAAAATTAATTACAAATGATTCCTGCAGAAGTGTGAAGTGGGGACATGGTGAAGATGCAGTGAAGGTCTTAACTTTGCATCTCCTTACCCTGAGAATAGTGAAATTAAAATGACTTCTATGATATAGTCACCACTGTTTTATATGGTGACCCTATGCAGGAATTTGCATATACACGTCTGCAAAGAACAGGAGCAGAAATAGAATCATTTAGGTGTTTTGCTGCTTAGCACACTGTAGCACATTTTTGATTTCCACATCTTACTTTTTGTTGGTATTATCCTGTATGGTCTAGTGGTGTTTTAGTTTCTTCTCTCTACAAAATCCCATGAAAACAACTTATAAAAGGAAAGATTTAATTTAGTTCAGTTTCCAAGGATTCTGAAAAATCATGTGCATCCATACAGTGAAATATTATTCAACCATAAAAAGAAATGTGTCCACCGTTACTTGGTCCCATTGCCGTGTGTCTGTGATGAGGCAGAGCATCATTGCTGGGTGTTTGGCTGTTTGATATCATGATTTCATGGTTCTTATATATCAGCAGATTTTGCATGAACAGGAATTAGTGAACATTGCAGCAGCCTCCTTGAACTGTCTCCATGGAGTCTTCCTCTGTGCACATCTCCCTTCATGGAGACCTGTCTGACAGAAAATAAGTTCCAAGGGCTACCCAGGCTTGTGCTAGAGCCCACAGCTCATGCCCCCTGCTTAACTCAGGACAGATGGAGAGATGGGTCTATTCCTGCAGTATTGGCTTCTAGAAAGTTCTTATGCATCACTGTTCTCCATGGAGGTGGGGGGGGGCTGGACAGTGAAAGAGCATGCACTCTACAAAGCCGTGGGAGTGGAGCAAGCACAGCCTCAAGTTTGAGGTCATGGGGGAGCGTCCTCAGCCCAGGCCTTGATCACAAGCCACTTCATGACACTCAGCTGCATCTTTTTGAACAGAACCACAGAAATCCCACGTGAGTTCTTGTGGGCCTGAGATGACTTCATAACCAGGGGTGACCCTGTGAGAACTGAATCTTTTTGAAGTGCCTTCAGTCAGCCCCTCTTGCAGCAATGCTATTCTGGAAGAAATTCTTAGAAGCTTTCCCAGAGGGTGCCTGACCACTCCAGCCAGATAGTCTTCATTTACCATCCATAAAAGCACCCACACTCAAATCAGGGCTTGACTGTAGGGTCCAGAGCCAAACATCATTCCTTCATCCCCTCTAGACACCCTGAAAAGGAGTCTTGCTTTGTCTTCCTCACTCCTGTATCTTCCCAGTTTCATCAGGTGCACTGCAGTGGGCATCCCGTTTGCATCAGAGGAATCCTGCTTCCCTCTGTTTGAACTGTGCTTCTTTCTGTCCTTTTTCGGTCATTAGTCTTAATAATGCCCAGCTTCCAAGCACTGGATCTGACTGCTGCCAGGGCATTGGCTTGACTGTGTTTATCCACTCAATATGTTTATTGAGCACTCTATTTTAGTGGAAGACACAGAATAAATACCACAAGTTCATACGTAATATGGCATCCAGGTAGTGAGAAAGGCATGAACAAGAACTGATCAGGGTGTGAGAAATATATTTCAGATGTAAAGTGCTTGCATCACATGCACAAAGCCTTGAATTCAATCCTCAGTTCATTAAAATTGAGAGCCACCAATCAGGGAGGAGGTGGAGGTCTGATTTTTGATAGGGTAACCCAGAAGCTTCTCCATGAATGAGGTAACATTTGAATTGAGATCTGAATAAAATACAAGGACCATGAGAAAATGGGGTGATGAGTCAAAGGGAGAAAAGAGGGCAGGCAAAAGCCCTTGGCAGGACCAAGTTGACAGAAAGTGGAGGAGGAGGTCTGTGTGCCTGAGGGTTGTGAGAAGGGACAGAAAAGGCAGCTGAAGAAATAAGCAAGGTTCATTGGTGGGGTTTACAGGCTGTTTGGAAGGCAGTCACTTCCCCATGCATACTGGGAAAGGCTAATTGCTTTGTGACTTCCATATTTGAATTCCCTATGCACAGTATATACTCTGGCTTAGAGCCAGTATTCCTGGGTATTTGTGGGATGGAAAAATAAGTCTGCTCTTTGTTCCAAAGGATATTGAAACCCAGAAAGAAGGAGTTAGTCAAGTCACTAAGCAGACCTGCAGGGTAACCCTTGGCGAGAATGATGCTTTCTTTCATCTTGCTGGTTAATACCACTTCTCTCCATCACTGTACTGTGTCTTCTGTCAGTAAAACATTTCATACTCTAAAACAAAGAGAAAACTGATTAGTAAGGAAACAGAATAGGACCATAGAATATCAACGAGATTCAAAGAAAGCCAGATGGGATGAGCCACACGTGGATACTTAAAGTGTGTCTTTGATCTTCCTAGCTGGAAACTAAAGAAAAATGGGATCAGTTACAAAATCTATCATTCTAAGAAAAACTACCAATGACTTTTAGAAGTAAAGCATTGTTTTCGCCCTCTTCTTCCTGCCTCATCTTCTTGGATAGCTGGGGTTACAGTTATAACCCATCATACATGGCTCTCACAAGTTTCTCCAGACACTGAGGCCTGAGAGAAAGATTGCTTGCAGCTTCTCAGGAAATGGATGCCAAATAACTTGGAACTTTTTTGGATGTGCACACTCTGCCATCTGAAAAGCACCATTTGTCACTTAATCATCACATCTAGAGCCCCAGTTTATGATCAAACAAGGAAGCTGTTTTGGCAAAACTTTGCCAATCATGTTCTGCTGTATGTAGGGTTTTTATGTGTTGCAATTCCCACACTTGAAAGATTCCTATGGGTACTGTTGGGTGCTGAAGGATAGGAGCTGCATGCTGAAGCCTGGTGGCATTGTCCATGAGGACAAGTGGCAGTTTTACAGAGGGACTGGATTTCCTCCCTCTGGGACTTCCTGGAACTGAGTGCAGGTGACCAGGCAGGCACTGGGTCTCCACTGTCTGTATCACAACCTCCTGTGGGTGGACTTTGCCTTGTGTTTATACATCCCACAGAATACATCCCAGGGCTCTTAAGAACCACCTTAAACTATCAGATTTCCTCTGGAAGCATGTGTCAGCTGCCCCAGATGATTATGCAGGGCTTGGTCCATGCTTTCTTTGAATGAATGGATTAAATATAGTAAGGGATAATGTAGCGGGTTTTTTTTTTTCTCCTTATCTCAAAGACAACGCAGATGCTAAGATTTCACTAGAGACTGTTTCTTAAAACAACAAAACAAAACAAAACCCCCCATTGCACTGTTGAGTATTAAGAGCATTTTCTGAAGCTGATCAAAAGCTTTCTAGGGGCTGAGGATGTAGTTCAGTTGGTAGAGTGCTTGCCTAGCAAGCACAAAGCCCTGGCTGGGGTCAGTCCTCAGCACTACATAAAATGGGTATGATGGCACAGATCTGTAGTTCTAGCACTTGGAAGGGGGACACAGGAGAATCAGAAGTTCAAAATCATTCTTGGATACATAGCAAATTTGAAGCAACCTGGGCTACATGTAACCCTGCAGCAACAAAACAAGACAGAAGTCTTCTAAGACTGCAGTCCCATCACAGTCTGTTCATGTTTCCTCTCCAGGTTCTGATGCCAGCACCATTGAAATCCATACTGCAACTGGATCTCGCAATGTACACGAAGTTGACTCCATTCCTCAAGCCCAGGGAGACCTGTGAAGGGATGGGGGTCAGACCCCAGAGTCCTCAAGCTCCAGCTTTCATTCTTTAGGACTGTGTTCTTGCCTGCCTTCTATCACTATGCAGCCACAATGTAGAATTCCCTAACTCTCATTCTAGTCGTCATAAGCAGAGCTCACTAAAATGTTCTTGCTGTTAGGACAAAGGACACAGGAGAGCTTGGAAATAGAAAATTTCATCTAGAACACTCAGTGGCTCCTCTCAACTCTTAACTGCCATTTGGACTTCTTCTGAGACCAGCTTAAATGCTAAGTGCCAAATCCAAATCCTTGAAAAAGTAGTTAAATAAAAACGCTGTGACTGAGCCCCATCTTGATATAGATTCTGTCCAAACAACCGCTAGCCAATGCTCTTCTGGAAGATTCGGCTGATGCAAAACAGCAGCAGGAGACAGGACCAGCAGGACAGATGGGAACTGGGGCACTGGGAGATGTGAAGCAGTCTTTCTCATACCCACTAGAGTACCAACATAGCACGTTTTTAATGAAGTTGCCTATGCCCTCATGCTATGTCAAGAGTGACATCATCTAAGCACTCCTTAGAACCTGCCTTACACTCAGATCATTGCCCATGTCTCCACCTTTCTGTCCATTAAGATGATATCTCTAGCTGAGCATGGAGACTCATGCCTGTAACACCAGCATATGAGAGGATGAGACAGGAGTATTGTCTTGAGTTCACAGACAACCTGACCTATATAGGGAGTCTGAAACCAGCCTGGGCTACTGAGACCTTGTCTTAAAAAAATCAAATGATGGCTGGAGAGATGGCTTGGTATGTAAGAGTATGTATTGCCCTGGCAGAAAATCCGAGTTCAGCTCCCAGCACTTATGTCAGACTGCATTACAACACAATGGCCTGTAACTCCAGTCCACAGGACCTGACACCTTCTCCTAGCCTCCAATGACACTGTACTTATATGCATATCACCCCCACCCTCTTATATATATAAACACAAAAAGTAAAAAAATTAAATAAAGTCTATCTACCTATATGTATGTATACAACACACATGTAGAGATGTGTATGAATTCTCTTTTTTTCTTTGCAGAAATGTTGCAGCATGCATTGAATTACAAGCTATGCCAGTTCGTATATAAAAAAAGCCACAAATATTTTTCTTACTACCCTACAGCAGGTCTGCCACGTGGCATCCCCCTTCACAATTATATCAGGACAACTTTTCATTCTCAAAAGGCTGTGAAACTTCTAGGTTTGTACTTTAGGGTCACAAAGCTGGATTCCTAGCACAGTGTGACTCTGATACTGGGTGCTACAGCCCAGTGCTCTCTGGGTAATGCCGCTGCATCTTCCTAAGCTGAGAGAGACCACACTTACCTTGGTCAATGTTCCAAAGGAGATGGTTAAGGGAGTTAGATTTCAGGTCTGGAGAGATGGCTCAGTGATTATGAGTACTGGCTACCTTTGCAGAGAACCCAGATTTGGTTCCCAGCACCCACACGTTGACTAACACCCATACTTAACTCCAGTTCCAGGGAATCCAACACCCACTTCTGACCTCTGAAGGAACTGCATGCACATAGTGCACTTACATTCGTGCAGTCAAAACACTCATACATATAAAAATAAATTGAAATTAAGAGAATTAGATTTCCCAGGAGGCAACTGTATTCTTGATCTCAGTAGAGTTCTGTCTGTCCTCTAGCATCAGGAGCCCCTCCTGTATGGTGATTCCCTCCCCCATCATTCTAGAAGCAAAGAAGTAGCTACTTGGCAGAACCAGTCATGGAATCTCCTACATTCTTTAGTTAGTGTTCATGGGATGAGATGCAGAGGCACCTTGGCAGAGAGTACTGGCAGAAGACAGGGCTGCTTTGAGGAGCAGTACTATAACGCTTCTAGGGGTGGGTCCAGTGTCCAGCATGAGGGTGTGAGCAGCACCCGCTGCTGTCTGTTATCTTCACTGGACCAACCCTGCTGCTTGATCTTGACTGTTTTTGTCTGTTTACCTCCAACATGTTCTGCAGAGACTCCCAGAGATGCCGCTTATCCTCATCCCTCCTTTGGCTGGCATTGGTGAGTCAGGTTCTTATGGTCCCAAATAAAAACCCTGATTGCTCTGACTGTCCAGTTGAGACAGTGCTCCCTGTTGCAATCAAGCATCCACCTGATTTTCATGACTTGGGAGTTTGCCTGGGTGAGCGCAGAGAAGGAGTGGGTAAATGGACATCTTGTGGTAACTTGCCAGGCAGAAAAGAAGCATGCGAATCAGGTGATTTCAATCCATAGAGGGAGTCTGGAGGTAGCAACTAGGTAGACAAATAAATGACACACCCACACACATCAGGGGGTTTTGAACCATTTTCCTTGCAGCTTGTGACTACACGGAGATGTGGTCATCATTGTGTTAATGTTTTTAAACCTGGAAAATGCTAGAATTCATTGGGAAGCTGAGGAGGATAATGCACTGGACAGCATGTGAAGATGGTGGTGATGGTAATAATAATGATAATGGGAAGGAGGGGATGCAGTGAGAGGGATGAGGGGAGATGGGATGTACAGCCTGGGGTTTGGGGTTGGCCTTTGCGGAGCTCTGCCAACACTGGCATAGCTGCAAGTGGAGTTCTGTGGAGACAGCTTCCATGGGCTTTTAACATTTCATTAGCAAGTCGTTTACCAACCAATTTATTTGCCCCCCACAAACAACCTTCCTCTCATTTCAGAGGAAGTCTTCATTGTCTCCATCACCACCTACCACTGTGTGCTTACAGTAGGTTGTGTGGACTCGGCTGTTGCCTGTGTTGTGTCTCTAAAGACATTTGTTTGACGATAACTATATTCCTAACCACAGATCCCATTGTGAAGCTCATCAGCCTCATAGTCTAGCAGATGAGTTCTGTCAGTGCCATCTCGTGTACTCCTCAATGGTTCTGTGCCCTCTTGGCAGTATTCTCCAGATGGGACTGAAGTTCTGTCTTGCTTATCTTACTGTGGATGAGACAGGTCACAGAGGAAGTTCTGAGACTGGAAAAATGTTCAGTCAAAACTGGAGTCAGTCTTTCTTTCCTTCCTTCCTTCCTTCCTTCCTTCCTTCCTTCCTTCCCTCCCTCCCTCCCTCCCTTTCTTTTTTTCTTTTTGAGACCAGGTCTTGCTATGTAGCCCTGGCTGGCCTGGAATTCAGTATGTAGATCAGGCTGGCCATGAACTCACAGATTTTCACCAGCTTCTGCCTTCCAAATGCTGGGATTAAAGAAAAGCGTGTGCCACTATGCCTAGCAAACCTTGAGTCTTTCTTAAGGACACAATTGATTCTCCATCATGCCCTGTTGATACACTTCATGGCTGACTTCCGGGTTTCCGTCATTAGTTCTCACAGTCAAGATCTAAGAGTACATACTGTGACATGAAGAACATCCTCAAGTAGCTTTAAGAACAACACCAAAGGCCAGATGTGGTGGCATACACCTCTAATCATAGTATTCAGGAGGCATAGGCAGGTGGTCTGTGAGTTTGAGGCCAGCCAGGGTGATCTTCCTGCCCCAGCTTCCCAAGTGATAGGATTACAGGACTGTGCCACCGCATCTGTTTTTTTTTTTCTCTCTCTTACTAGTTATTGACCTCATCTTGGTGCTGTGGTATTTGTTTTGTTTTGTTTTGTTTTGTTTTCAGTTTTTTGAGGCGGAGTCTCATTATGTAACCCTAGCTGGCAGGAAAATCACACATTCCAGGCTGGCCCATTGAAATAAGCAAGCAGCAATTAAAAGGGGGTGGACAGAGGTTTTCACTAGGGGGATGAAGGTTACATTATCAACATCAAGGCAGTGGAAGCACCCACAGAGGAGGGCAAATGCTGGTGCAGTTAGTTTTAGAATCAGTGTAGAGGAAGGGTCCATCGACCTGGAAATTCCAGTTGTATATTTACAACTAATCCATCATGTAGTCCCAACAAAACTTCTCCCACAGTATCAAGATAGTAATATCAAATTATACAACTCACCAGAATTGTTTCTGAAGCCACCAAAGCCTGCTCACATTCACACTGATTAACACTGAATACCTTGCTCCAGGCTCTACTGCCAGCCCCACTTAATGTTCCTTAAGATTTTTTTCCAGGGGCAGTCCTATGACTTCTGAGTGAAGGCTCAGGGTACTCAAAGTTTCATTCAAACTCCCCATGTGGGAACATGCTGTCAGTTTGGCAGGGTATAAGAAGCAGAGAAAAACTGTAATGAGCAGGCTAGACCTCAGATAACTGTGTGAGCCAGAACAGGTTCTTCCTAAATTGTTTATAAGATACCAGCCATGAAATTGCACAGTACATCAAATTACATATGGTACATGACAATAAAGCACAAAGTTGATGGCTTGTGTGTCTGCCATATTGTTTATGATAATTTTGGAGTGCATTTCCATATAAATCTAATACAGCTCCTATTTACTGCATCTCTTGATTGTGTCATTTCTTCTTGTGTGAGACATAATCTTGTGTCGCTTTGTTTATTGTGACCTCCAGTGCAGTGGGTACACTATTGATTTGTCTGTTTGTCCATCTGTCCATCCACCCATCCACTCACTGACCCCCTGTATCATTATCATCTATCTCATGATATCATTTACATCATCAATCAACAGCTACCTTTCTACCTTTTGGATATGTAGCAGGCTAGTCTACGGAGGTTTTTGTAAGAATAACTGTTCCTTCTATCCATCAACAATCATCTGACACACCAACCAATCAATCATATATCATTCAACCATTTGGCTTATATGCATATATCTCATCATTCAATCAACCAATCAATAATTATTCAGTCATCTATGCACTACTGGGTGGATAGATCACCTATCTTTCTAAATTTGCCTAGGTGTGTGGCAGCTTACATCTCGCAGGTCTGTGCATGCATATGAATGCTCACATAAAGGTGCAATCCATGAATGACACGTTTTTCAGAAACCACCCCTGTCCTTAAGCGATAGACACATAGCTTTATTTGGGATTTGGCCTCTCTGGGAGCTTGAGTCATAGGTGACAACCTTCTGGATACCCACAATTATCCACTGAAACCCTGAGCCAAGAGGGGCAAGATGGCCCTCTGCCTCTGGCTCTTAGTATGGGAGCAAGCTAGGATCAGAAGGAAATGACACCATGACTTCCTTTGTGACTCATCTGTACAGTAAAAATCTTGACTCAGCACCAAGGCTGCAGCTGAGCTATTTTCACCCTGTCTAATTCACTAACTCCTTCACACAACAGGGATGTGAATACCCATTAGCTAATTAAATCATAGTGGGTGCAGCAATTCATTAAAAGAGCATAAAGGCAAA